AGTTTTTCTACAGACAAGAGGCAGGCAGAGGACGCTGGGGGGACAGTCTGTCCTGGGAAGGCCCCCTAGGGTCCTGCTCAGTTACACTTACACACTTCTGTAAATCAAAAACAAAACTGCAAATTAAAGCAATTGAGGGACTTCCCTGGCAGTCCAGTGGTTAAGACTTTGCCTTCCAATGCAGGGGGTGTGGGTTCGATCCCTGGTCGGGGAGCTAAGATCCCACATACCTCAAGGCCAAAAAACCAAAACATAAAACAGAAGCAATATTGTAACAATTCAAAAAAAGACTTTAAAAATGGTCCACATCAAAAAAAAAAAAAATCTAAACGGGACTTCCCTGGTGGCCAGTGGTTAAGACTCCTCACTTGCAATGCAGGGGGTGCAGGGTCGATCTCTGGTCGGGGAGCTAAGATCCCACATGCCATGTGGTGTGGCCAAAAAGAACAAAGCAATCAATGCCAGGAATTTATTTGAAGGAAAAGTAATATAATGATGGACAGAAGATTTATCTATAAAAATGTCCATCCCAGAATTTAGAAGCCGCCTCCATGCCCAGCCTCCATCCATAGCAAGGAGCCCTGTGTACTTGGGAGGAAGTGTTTACAAAAGCGTGTCTGCCAGGGCCCTGATGTTGGCAGCACTGGGTGCTTGTTGAAATGCTGAGTTCCCAGCCCTTTTCCCTGGAGATTCCGAGTCCCTGGGGTTCGGTGGGGTCCAGGCACCTGCGGGATTGACGGATATTCACCAATGTTAACAGTAGCCGTCACTAGCGGGTGGGGAATGGGTATTTAACAACTTTCTGTGATCTTCAGTATTTTCCCAAAGTTTTATTTAAAGGCCTTTTTGCTTTTAGAAGAAAGGTTTATTTTGGAATATTGCATATTCTTGAGAAATTAATATCATGGGAAAATGCTAGATATGTTATTGAAAAGCAGTTTCAAAACTGTCAATATAGTGTGATTACTATAATATATTAACATATAATTAATACAAATATTATGCACAGAAAATAAAGAACAGCTCTGTCAGAAATTTTTCTTTTAGGCCATGAGACCATGATTGGTTTCCTCCCCTAACTTTTTTATTGCCCTGATTTTCTATAATAACTGTGGAGGGATACATATCAGGGGAAAAGCACACAATATGGAGAGAATGGGTTTGGGTCTGGAGAGCAGCTCCGAGCAGCGGGGTGCACAGAGGACGTGGTGGGGGTCCTGGAGGGGCAGCGGCTGGGCCATGACAGTGGACAGGCTGTCTAATGTATGTGCAAAATGAATCTTTGGGCCCTTGTTCATAATGTGTTAAGAATTTCAAGAAGGTGGTAGCGGGGCTATACCAGGCGCAGCCTTCGCTTGGGGCTGTGCTGCTCCCTGCACATGTGGACCATGCATTACAGATGCACTGTAATGAGCTCGTGTCCAGAATCCACGCACGTTTTACTGCTGTCCCACCACAGTCCTCTGTCTGACCCAGGCTCCTCCCACGTGGTCCTTCCCGGTAAAGTCTCCTGAGCCAGCTTCGACCGGGACAGGTTCCCAGTCTTTGTCTTTCATGACCTTGACACATTTAAAGGGTATGGATTGTTTATTTTGAGGAAGATCCTAGTTTGGGCTTCTCTGATGTTTCTCCTGAACAGGTGGAGGTCGTGTGTTTGGGGCAGGAACACCACCAAAGTGATGCTGTCCCTTCAGTGCGTCATCTCAAGGGCGTGTGATGTCCATATGCCTTGCACTGGTGATGTAGACCTCCATCTTGAGTGAAGGCGTGTCTACCAGGTTTCTCCACTGTAACCAATAAGTACTTTTGAGGCTATGCAAATAGCATGTCTGTCATCCTCCTTTTGCCACTAATTTTAGTATCCGTGGATGGCTCTTGCCTGCGATGCACAGCGGACTTTGAAAAGTCTCCTAAAGAAGGATAATTTTGCATTTAGAATTGTCGATTAAAATTCAATTGACAAGAAGAAAAAAGAATTTTACTTGAGCCAAATTGAGGATTATAAACCAGGAGGAAGTCTTTCAGAAAATTTTGAGACTGTTCTGCCTGTTAGAAGTCGAAGGCGTGGTCATATACTGACGTACTGACATTTTAAATGAAGTTCACCAAGGATACATAGTCCAGGTAGCACGTATAAAGCCAGCAGCAGGTCACCGTGACCCCCTACGAAGTTGGGAAAGTACACTATTCTTCTAAGAAGTTACATTGCCAGCGTCAGAAGAAAGGAAAAAAATTGATCTTTATGGTGGAGCAGGCATTCCCACCTTTGAGGAGGTCCGGTTATTCTGTAATGCGGACGCACGCTGCCGTCAAAGGGGGAGTGAGAAGGCCCTAACAGACAGAGAGAATTTTATGCTTCATTTTCTCATCCTGCCTTAAAATATAAATTTTACTTCGTCTGAACAAAAGCACGTATTTTTTAGTTACACTGAATATGCAACAAATCTTTCATGAGCTGTCAGTGTCTAATAGCTGTATAGGCTGTCAAGTATTGGTATATTTTTAAAGTATATGTTGGTGCATTTCATTGCATTCTTTTGGTGAAATTCCCTGTCAGAAATTCACTGAATGTCTATTAACATTGCTCTTTTCTTTAGGCTTTGTTGTCTTCTTTTTCCTGCTTTAGGAAGAAGCAGGTAGCGCCCTCCTCTCTGGAGTACATGGATTTGTTATTTCACTGCCCCGCACCTCCGCTGAGACGTGGCTGTTGAGGCAGGGATCTTGTCCTGTTCAACAGCGCCGCTGCGGGTGAAAGAACTTAAATAGCTTTTTCAAACAGAAAAAGTTGGACCAATGGGGCAATGAACACTTGTATTCCTGCCACTGGAGTCAACCATTGTTAACATTCTGCCGTATTTGCTTGTGTGCCCTGTGTGTGATTGTTTCTCTATCTATTGACATGACACTTCACCCCCACCAAACACTTTGCAGTTATTTCCTAAAAGTAGAGACATTCTTCTCCATCACTTGTTGGCAAACTATGATCATTGGGCCTAATCTGGCCCATCACCTGTTTTTGTAAATAAAGTTTTATTAGAACACAGCCACACACATTCATTTGCATATTGCCTGTAGCTGCTTTTGCACTAAAGGAGCAGTTGTTTTGGCTCACAAAGCTGAAAATATTTACTACCTCACCTGTGCAGAAAAGCATTAACCTAAGGCCTGCATGCTATCCTTACAAAGTCCTGCTTATGAGTTTGGGCCTTAGCTGGCACCTGGGAATGTGGATTTGGGGAGGGTCCCCATCACCGTAACTGTGATAAGAGTGCCTCACTGGGTCTGAACCGTTTGTACAAACAACACAGCGTGTGCTGAACATCCATTCTCTCTCTGGGAGTCCGGAGTTTCCGTGTGTGTCTGTGACTAGCTCATAATAAAAACTGGGCGGTTTTTTTTTTTGTTTTTAATTAACATTTTGGCTGTGCCGCTCAGCATTTGGGAGCTTAGACCACCTCCTACAGTGGAATCGCAGAGTCTTAACCACTGGATCACCAGGGAAGTCCCCAAAAACCCTGGGCTCTGGTCTCTAACAAGCTCCTTCTGACATTTAATGCGTTGTCACAGCTCTTTGCGGGAAGTTAGCTCGCTCTACAAGCCTTTTCCCTGTGCCTTGAATCCTTTTGCCATAATAAATCATAGCCATGGGTCTTCCTAGCGAATCAGTGAATCTGGGCGTCTTGGGTCCCCCTGACACATGGCCCTTTACAGAAAAAGTCAGCAGAGGCCCATTCTACATAAACACCATTGTTATACCTAAGAAAACAAAACAATAATTCTGCAATATAACCTAACCTCTAGTTTCTATGCAAGCTTTCCAGTTGTCCCCCAAATGATTTTTTAGCTTATTTTAAAAAATCAGAGTCCTGTCAAGATTTGTATATTGCATCCCCTCCTTTACACATGCTTCACCCATGCCTTCGTTCATGACACTAACTGTGAAGCGTTGCGCACTGTCCCAGATCGGGTTCGCGATTCCCTCCTCGTGCCCCGTGCGCGGCCTTCCTGTGTCCAGAGGCCGGGCGCGGACCTACAGGCTGGACGAGGCCAGTGCAGCTTGCCCCATGGGTGATGCTGCCGCAAGGTGGGGCACCAGCAGGTGGCGTCAGGCCACTGCGGGCGGGGGCGATACTCGCGCACCCCGCCCCCGCCTCCCCGCCCCGACCCCCTTCACCCGGCG